CGCTTCAACTTCACTTATCATTAGTCACCCTCTGGCTAACATGTAACTGCCAGATCTTGACCGTAACCACAGGACAGAAACATTTGCCGTCCACGAAAGAACCTCACTGACCACAGTGACCTCGTATGTGCCCTTTACCGGAGCGGATCAGGCACAGGTCGAGAAAAGCTCCGTAGCAAAGAGAAGGATACCCAAAATATCAGGCTGTTCACAAACAAATAAGCGGCAGCAGAGCGAGAAACGCTGGTGGACCAGCAGTAGGAGTTGTACTTTGGGCCTTCGAGGAGAAACCCTGGTCGTGTTTGTTGGAGCTCCTCTGTCAACGTCATCTGCGGTACCGTCAGAAAACTTCCTATGCTTGCTGATCGTGACTGATTCTAAAGGTTTACCGGTTAACTGCACCTATTGGCCCCAATGATGCCATAACAGGCCATATTCAACTTATTTGCTTGTATTCTTTCTTATTGCCGCAGAAGATGGCAACGGTGAACCATGACAAAAGATGGTAATCTGCAAACATTTTCATGATAGAGGAATGGGACTGGGTAACGACCACATCGCTCCACAGAACGAATAAAAGGGACCGACATCCTCAGGCTCCATCATCGCAATCAAATCGACATGCGTTCGTCTGGTTGTTCCTTCTCAGTATCGCAGCACTTTCCCTGGTGAGTCGCCCACGGAAGCGTGATCATTCTCAGGATTTGCAAAAATAAGCTTCTATGTTTAGGCCTGTGCCCCAACAACGCCAGCGGGTGGCAGGGCTGCGGGAGGCGGCGGCAGTAGCAAGGCCGCCTCGAAGAAGAAACGTGAAGTCAACGAAGCAGAAGTCATTGTAACATCACCAGAACTTCAACCCAAAAATGACTGACTCGTACATGGGAGTAGTCAGATCCGCGGTAAGTAATCTCAAACCGATAACAAAGCAGAACCAATCACGGAGTTGCTCTTCGAGACTTAAAGGTACTTTCACAATCCAAAGTTGTAGGTATTCCACTTGCAAATTAAAGTGCAGGTGGGAAGGAACAAGCTAAGACAAGGAAAATGCAAAAGAAAGTGCACAAGTTGGGGCCTCCTTTCCATTGAGTTTTGGCGGTATCACGACGGAGAGACACCGGATGCACTTTTGAGATCTATGGACCTCGCAGGCTGGCCCACGCTACTCACGGAAGGCAGTGCTCCACCCAGCTTTATTGTAGAATGTGCTTCCAAGGGAACAACTAACGATGATATCATGCGCAACAACCCTTCGGTTTGCACGATGAAGCTGTGCACGAAATCGCGGATATGCTGATTGCACGCCAGCACTTCACATCCGGCTCTAAGATCGTTGTCAAGACGTGTCCTCACTACTTCTCTCTCGCACCACCGACTGTTTGCACGCTCTCATTCCTCGTGCTCTTTCGCATGCCCTCTCTCTTCCGCGATCACCATTGGTACGTTTTCATTTAAGCGTAGTTCGACTGGGAATGAGGAGCATAACTTCAGGTGCTTTCAGTGGTTTTTAATCTTTTTTTTTCTCCGCTGCTGGTTCACTTTGCAACTCTGTTTTCATCTCCGTGTTCATAATCACAATATGCGAATTAGTGCCTGTGTCCTTTAGTTTAGACCGCTAAAATACTGGTAGGAAGCACATTCATGTTCAGGTTGATACAGGCAGTGCAGAGAATCCGGAAGATCCAACCAACGTGATCTCTATCGTAAAAAGAATACTAAAGAAACGTTGATTTAGGAAAATTCGCTGTTGCCTAACACCAATACTTGTGGCGGACTGCGCGCAGGTAGTCTATATGCAGTGCGCCATTTTCATGCTCTGATATGTCTTTGCTGACGCTCGTCCGTTTTCAACTCAGTTGAAACTTTACTCTGTAAGGTTTTGGCTAGACAAGACTATATGAAATAGACCTAAAAACGGGTTATGCCTCGATATTTCGAAATTACAATATTGTGGATTATCCATTTTCTTCGCCGTCTCTCGCGCGCAATGTCCCATCGGGCATGGCTTCTAGTGATATAGGGTGGGGTGCTATCGGGCAATATAGGGCACAATCTTGCATCGACGTGTACACCCTGATTCGTGTTTAAGCATTGGGAAATTAAGTGAACACTCTATTTAGTGAATATTGGAGGACGCCTGGGACATACTCAGCAATGAGTACGCACTAACATTCGTCACTCTTGACGTGTGGTTTAGAACCCCCCGCCCCCGCTTTAGGCTTAACTCGAAGCTCAATCGAGTAGGTTTTTTTATACTGATAACGTCTGAGCTGAACTGGTATATTGATCACAACTCTGTAAACATCCAGCATTTTTCTTGAATTAAGATAATTTAGCGGTGAATAGGATTGCTGTCAGTCTCAAAATCAAAACGAAATATGCCTATTTACATAAGTGGAGCTAATGCTTATCATTCATTTACATTCATCATTATTTAGAACCACGAAAGGATTAGCGGTTTAATGAGTTTGGGTTTTCTTAATAGTCAGAAATGAAACTTATCATTTGCTGAAGACTTTTTTTTAATTTATGCAATCGAATTCTATTAAGTAAGCTGGATATATATCGAAATAATGTGCACGTACCTTTGTTTGTACTACTACGACTTACTACAATTTGTAAGTAGGAACGCTCTAGTGTCAACGCTGCGTAACGGAACTAACGACTTTTGCGTTCTGACGCGCCTTATCGGCCCTTATCAATCGTTATCAGTTTCTGGCACCCACCAACAATGTCCCCGTCCCACCCCACATAACACTTGTAAGTATGGTTGCTCTGGTGTCAACGCGAGCCAGGCAACGGAATCGACGACTTCAGCGTTCTGGCGCGCCTTATCGGCCCTTATCAATCGTTATCAGTTTCTGGCACCCACCAACAATGTCCCCGTCCCACCCCACATAACACTTGTAAGTATGGTTGCTCTGGTGTCAAGGCGAGCCAGGCAACGGAATCGACGACTTCAGCGTTCTGGCGCGCCTTATCAGCCATTATCAGTTGCTATCGCTTCCAATCATGTACCACCAATGTTCCGGGACCGCCCCACATAAGACTTGTAAGTATAGACGCTCTTTACCAATATGAACGGCAAAACGAAATTGGCGATGCTCGCTTTCTAGCCCCTCTTATCAGCTATTATCAGTCGTTATCAGTTCCTATCACGTACCACTTGTGTCCCCATCCCACCCCCTATAACATATGTAAGAACCACTGCGCTATCGTTACTGTGACTCGAGCTATGAATTTCCGGTCAAACATACACACACACCAACAGACACACGCTAGCCGCTTATATATAGTAGGATATATTTAAGCTTCCTATAGTTTACTACTAGCTCACATCTGCAACACCCCCTCCTTCGAACGACGGGTTTCGAAGCACGATCATATGTTCGATCTAAAATAGCCTGATCCGACGACAGACCTCATCGAACGTTGGACGTGTGGCTGGTGGAGGAGGAGAGGGGAGAGGAGGAGGTCGTGTGGGCATATCTGCATTCTAACTTCTCGCGTGTTATCTGGCCTTGCGCAAGCAAACGCTGATGGCCATCATGATCGTTTGATGGTACGCTCCACTGAACTCACATGCACTCGCAGATTTCCTGATGGTGGGCAGTCTATTGCATTGGCGAACTTAATCGAGACCCATGGGTCTCTCTATCGTCTCCGAAAGTTTGACAACCGCAATAGTAGGTGCTTCCATCGCATGGGAACCTGCACACGATATCTCTTTGTGCAAGTCGAGTCGGATAGTAGCACATGGCCTTCTGAACCCTTGACTCGGACTCGTATGTTTCATGTCAATGTACCTTTAAAATTCCAAAACCTTCTCCATCTCAACCTGCCACCTACCGCGTCTACCACCGCTGACTTTCCGAGAGGAATTTAAAATGACATTGTGATCAAAAAAGAACACAAGACAATGGTGATAGAGGACCGTAACCTGTTTTGGACTAGAAGCAAGTATTTGTAGCAAAGTCCACTACGTAAATTTCCGCGCACCCCCTCCTATCGACTCATTTGTTCTAACTGCTAAGATTAAAACTACGTGCAACATAGGTTTTTTTAGCTGAAAGAGCTTCATTTCCCCGTCTCTGCGAAAGAGAAGGGAGCAATCATTCAATCGCACTGCGTACGTGCAGATCGCCGAAAAAAGATGCTCTGTAGTGCTTTTATCCAGAGGACTTCAATCAGTCTTGCATTCATGTCACTTTTGTTTTACTTGCTTTGCATCGAATATCCATTATCACATCATTCTTTACTTATCATTGGATCGAAGAAGTTGGCACAATGGTAAATTTGGCGCGCCGCTTGCCGGTGGGCGCGTGTCCGCGGTATGCCTTGTTAGCTATTCTGAGTCTCTTCGAGACGCAATACGAAAATACAACTATAGCATAAGTGGCTTGTAAGCTAAAAAGCTTTCAGCATATCCCTACAATTTCGAATGGAGCTGAAGTTCATGGCGCATTTCGAACAGGGATTGCTGGCCGCTCAACAAGCTCATCGCATGCTTTGCCCTTCAATTTCGCAGCGCGCAAGATTAGCTATGAACAGCGCACCGCACAGTCACCGTATGATTATTGAATAATGTTCCTCTTGTAACTTTTCGTTGCCGCATTGTCCAGAAACGCCACTGTGACTTCTGTAGGGGTGGGAGACTGGACTTTCATGACTTTTCAATTATAACTTACTGTGAAGCACTCTGCTCATTGCTCAGCTGAGCTCGTAACAGCATTAAATCTTTTATTGAAATGAATCACTCTTCTCGACATAGGAATGCTCCTCAGAACGATTAATTATTCCTTGTTTATGTGGAAAGGATCAGCTGCAGTGGCACTGTTGGCATACTGACGAATAGAGCACCGACGACACGTTTTTGGGCAATATATTTGCAACTGTACACTTATTGGTAATCGGCCATAGCAGAGTCCAACGGCAGTAGCATAATATGCACAGCTAAAAAAGCATCCCGTTCTTTCCAGTCAGAACCATTCGGAATCCCGACATTACTTTGGATGGTCCACGCATTGGCTTGCTGCTTCACCGTAAATCCAGAAACTATCCGGCAGAGGGGTTTGGGTGGTCGTGGGGAATGGTTTAACTGTTCGAGAAGTTGGACGCGGTTCGCTTACCGAAACTAAATCAATTTGATATGATAACATTTAAAAAACACACTGTTGAAGGGTTCAACCGTATTACCATAACGGTACCGCAAAGTCATCTCTGATCTGTAATATCTGTTCCATGTAATTATAGGAGTTCGATTAGTGAAAGATCGGAGTCTGGTCTGTGCTGCGCTTTTGGAGCAGAATCTAAGCAAAGAAATAAAAGAGTTTGGGAGCATCCACAAATACACTTTTCTCAAAACGATTACCTATAGCCAGTGAGTCGTTGGTCCTCATTTGTCTTGATTTCCACACCACCGTACACGCAGCCATCATAATCAAAATTGTCGGTGAAGCTTAGAAGTTCAACCTCGATTTCGGTTTCTGCAGGAGACTGAGCAAAAGCGAAGTCACTACTCTGCGACCGATATCCACTGCCTATCTTCATCAACAACTGCTAATTCCACGAGTGTGCATAATATTTTTAGGTCACGGATAGGCTTTAATTTGTCATGTACCGCGCCACTAATTGCACCGTGATTAATTTGAGGCGTTTTTGCGGCATGAGAATACACAAGGGTTCAGAAAGTCGGGTAATCGAGATAGCTTGCGTCTAAAAGAGGAGAAGAACATCGTTGGAAGGATGTGGCTGGAAACAAATGCTAAGCGTGGTACGACGTACGTACGCTCTGTGTACTTTCCTCTTTGAACGTATGGTAGGCTGCAAATGTGAATGACGTCACGTCGTGATTTCACGTTACAATCAAATTTCGGTTTCTCAATCTGTCATCCAACAAAGTTTTTCTTGAAAGCCTCCTCAACATCAAATGCTAGTGCTTGGTTTGAATGCTGCTGTCTTCCAAGATTTATAACTACACTTAATTTCGCAAAATAATTAGACGTTATATTAAGAATGTGTTACTTACATTGATCCAGTAGGTACACGTTTTAAAGTCCTCTTTGAGGTGGGAACACTTGTATCCCCTAAAACATTTGTGAGTGTGGTCCAGTTCAGAGACGCATCTACTGTACTTCCACAGCCGTCATTTGGCTTAACAGATAAATGATAATCCATTTTCTTGCATCAGCTAATTTTTTTCTTACTCTTTCGGTACATCGATCTCCACCATAACCAAAGGACAGACACATTTGCTGCAGTTACGAGGATTAGGGAAACCTTCCATCCACAAACCACCGATTCAGCAGCTTTGCACAGTCCTGAAAGTGTATAATGACTGAATGCCCATACATGTACCAGTTGGCGCCGCACGCGTTGCGCGCACAGCACAGTTCTGCGGCGATATAGGATGCGGCGTGAATTTTCGAATTTGGCCCAATACACTTCGAATATTTGACTTTCAAGCTGAATTCTATCCGATTGCCCCATGCTTCATCCACCGATGGCTTTTGACCTTCCCTCCTTCCTCCACCAATTGTCCGTAATCGTCAACCAATTGTCCGTATAATCTTTTCAAGCCAATTGTCCGTATTTCCCGGCCTCGAACTGCCTCCGGACCGATTTATGAACCTCGTGGTAAACTTCGCCTGTTTCTTTGCATGTCCCACCTATGTTTTTCTTCCTCGCGAACCTCTTCCCACTTTTTACCCAGTCTTTGAACTGTCGTCTTGAGCCATTACATTTTGGTGGCAGAAAAAAAAAAACCTAAAATTTTTTTCGTTGCGTGTATCCCCGGCCACGACTATTTTAGAAAACACTTACCGTTTTTCGAACTTCCGCCAGTAAAAGCCCTGCCCACCGATAGCAATCGGCCTCCACTCATTCACCCACCTCTTCTCTCTTCGGGACTTCTTGGAGCCGAGTTATAAACCTTCGTCCCCAACTCCGTCCACCTTCGTGTACGCTCTACCCACCAATAGCAGCTTGTACTCCGGTGCGTTGTCGGACTCTACCCACTCTTTTCCCGGTATCCTAGACCTCTCGGAACTAAATTGTAAGTTTAGGGCTAACAACGCCCACTGCTGTGTTGCTGCACGCCCTAATTGCAATTGACCTAATTGCCACCAATTGCAGTTGACCTAACTTCCGTTGACGAACTTAATTCACTTTTTTCCAGTCTACTGGACTTCTTGGAACCAGGTTATGAATTTCCGTCGCAAACTCCGCCCCACCCACTGATGACAGTTGGCCTCCTCTCCTCCACCCACCTCTATCCATCCTTTTCCCGGCTCACTAAGACTTCTCCGACCCGAATTATGAGGACTTGTAGAAAACGCTGTACACTTCAAAGCGCGCTCCGCCCATTGTGGGCGGACCTCCACGTCATGTATGCAGGGAACACCTTAGACATTGCTTCGCCTGCCCATTTCAACTGATTTTCTGCTCTGTAGGCCTTCTCTCAGCCGGTCATGAATTTTCTCATTAAGAACTTTTTTGCTGCTTTTTGGAGAACGCCCCGCCCACCGGGGGTGGGTCTCCCTAATTCGATGTGACTTACCAATGCACACCTTAACCCACTTTTTGGCCCAGTTTCGAGGTCGTTTTGTCACTGAAATCGAAATCTTGGTCGTCAGTACAATTCGTTTTGACGGGCTCCGCTTAGCTGATGTGTGTTTTGTACTTCGTGAGACCTTGCCCACCCATCCCCCCACACTTGACCCGGTCCCTCCAGGCGGATCCCGAGGAGCTAGGGAATTTCGTGACAGACATACAGAACGACAGACGACAGACGAAGCGCTTTATAGTAAGTAGGATAATGACTGAATGCAAAGGTGTTAGCCAACATATCTTGACTGCTACGGCGTCACGCTAACTTTAAGCTCGCGGTGCATATGCGTTACAAAGATGCGTATACATGTGGCCTGAATGCGTGAGCAAAGAGATCTTGGTAGTGGCAGCGTGATAAAAGTGTCGGCGCAAACAGTGTCGAGGGCACTGCGCTTTTGGACTGCGAAGAAAGGAGCGCCATCACTTTGTCATACGCGTCATCACTTCAGACGCCACTGAAGTCACCCCAATGTTTTCTGACTGGTAATATTCTTGAAAATTCTAGAGCGTTCGAATAGTACTACGAAGATATGCAAAGCACCACGCAAATCACAATCAAGGGATCTTTGTGAAAAATTTTAAGAAACGACTCGTTTTCTCTACTCACCGTCGCATTCATAGAGCTTATTGACCATTACCAGATCCACGAAAGAGACGAACGGTGATCCAAGAGTATATTTGTAGTCGTACTCGAGTGGCAACATAGCTGGCTGTTTTTTATTGATCGACACGCTGTTAGTAGATGTGTTCGAAATCAAAAATCAACACGAAACAAACTATTAAAAAGCGATATGTTGCGTGCGTCCTAACAGCAATTTACCATTATGAGGTGGGATTTTAAATAATTGCAAAAAGAATGCTGTGATGAGGAAACAGAAGATCTCATAGAGAGACGCTACCGTCTTTATTCAGTCGTAGGGCTGCGCATAAATAGGTCACGGCGCCACTGAGTTAAATTTTAGCACATCACGGTGCGCGGTGATATGCTGCGCGCTGTACAATTGCGCACAACCTCGTTTGATGACCTAGCGATACACATCCGACAGTACACTCTTTGATTACAAATGTTAAACCCAAGATATTTCGAAGCGAGTAAGAATATTTTGAAGAATAGAAGTCATAAACAACCTCGATTCGCCATAGTGCATAATGCTTCCATAGTCGTAGGGCAAGTCAAATGTTTGTGTACCTTCCCCTAATAGTTTGTCACGGTAGTAAGGCTGTAAATAAAATCATTAATAAAATCCTGATCCTTTATCCATTTTCCTATGTATAGACCTGAACATTTGCAAAATTCATTGTGATGGACATGTCGCGATCGTTCCTGGCCATGGTGTGGTAGAGTCCAAGAGCATGACCAATCTCGTGAGCAACAATATCGACCGAACCACATCCTTTTCCCAGTGATATCCGCTGCACACCTCCCACTCTTCCTATTGGTGACAAACAACCTTTATCTGCCTGCACTGATATCCGATTAACAGCTGAAAAGGGAATCACTTCATCGTGTTCATTTGAGCCGTTCCAACGTGCCTGTTAGAGTACGCTAAAGGTACCCTCAACTGAGGATGTGGCTGCTATAGAGGCAAGTTCTCCGATCAGATTCAAAATGTGCAGATAGAGCGCTTATGGCTAAGAACTTACAACCACTAGTCACCTCAACCAGTCATGCACGCCCATCTTGCAGTTGTCATATCCCAACCCGTTATGCTTCCTCGCCTTCGTCTGCCATTCTCTCACTTTGACACCCAGTGTCTTTACATGTCGGGATTCATCTAAAGCTTTTCACTAGTTATGAATTAGTTTAGAGCCACGGCAGGTTTCGACTGTTTGATGTGGCCGGCATTGCCTGTGGTTCAAAGACTATAAGACTCTACATTCTACAACATCTACTCCATTATTGTTTGTGGAGCGCAGCCGTACTGATCCTTGCCGTGCTATGATTGAGGAAAACCTTCCTGCAGCTGCCGATGACTGCTATCTATACTTATTCCCCCTTCCATTTATTTCACCCCCTACCCTTCGGTCAGCCTTGCGTCGAGTAACATGTCTCAACAACCAGAGACGTAAAATGACGGCGATTAACTTAGTGTGTTTTTATAGTTCTAAAACTCTCTCTGCACAATTCTTAAAAACAAAGTTGCGACAAAACTGGCGTCACAGACAGAGATCGTATCTGACACTCAGACATGGCGCGTGGATGCGCCCTTTTTGAAAGTGATGTCCGTGTCTTCATCGACAGACCGTCCGGCAAGACATACTGTCCTTCATTCCTGATCGTGATAGAACGCTATCACGATCAGGGATCAGGGCACCGCATTATAGAATTCGAACAAAAAGTCTTTCGACAAAGAGGGGGGAATTCGAGATCAGCATTTGAAAATACGTCTAAAATTAGGTCCTCATCACAACGTATTGGGCTCGGTTTCCTACCTAATCAGACACCTCGACGAATTCTAAAGCTCGTGTAAGTGTGCTCGGAGTTTATCGAGCGGCAGACGTTGGAAGGTGTAATTCCTCGAGGTTTACGGACTACCTGAACTCTCTACTATGGTTCTGCACCAATGGCTGGAGCTCAGACTAACAGAGAACCACGCCTGAAGCTACGGTCTTATATCCCAGAAGGAAGGCTGAAAGCTCTCAGCTAATCCCTGGGAGGCGTGCTCTGCGGTGGGTGCGCCGACTGAAGTGGACAAAAATCTTGACTGTGTGAGACCACATCGATCATAAGCTGCTGTTTGGGCAGAAGAGCGTCGACAAGAACATCAAATTGAAGCGCTCCGAAGGATCAAGTTTAATCGGTCCGTAGACGGTTTCTCCATCTACTCTTTCCTGTATTCTTTGGGGTTTTCTATATTGAGAGGAGCTGATCTTGGAGAATGACAACGAACTCAGATTCGATAATCTGAATACGACTTTACTCTCACCTCCAAAGTTGGGTATGAACTTAACACACGAGTCTTTCTGCCACAGATCTACTGCTTTCAGGAAAATCCTTCGGAGATCATTACCTAGAATCTCTTATTACTAGTTCAAAATCGTGATGTTTTCAATAGCCTCAACTCTGTGGTCTCACTAAAGCGGATGTCGAAACGTAGTGAATACATATTCCGTATCCCACACTGATATCGTATCATCATGACTGCCTGACGCTTGCTCCGGCTCGTTTCCTCGACGGTGGTACCTCCATTTGCGTCTCCAACCTCGTTGGGTATGTCTTCGGTGTGAGGCCTTCAAAAGAGCATATTGCTTCGTCTAACAACGGTTTGTTGCGATTATCCAGTACGCACTTTGTGAGAAGAAATATGCGCTCTGAAAAAAGCTCCTCGTCAACTCCACTCCTCTCATTTATTTTCGGATGGAGCAACCGCCTTTTTAATGCCTATGATCAGCACTCTATCTTCGTGGTTTCTGGAAAATTCGGTGGTTTCTGGAAAATTTGTTGGAGAGCCTTTCCTATTCCATGAATCACATCTCAACAGAGTATAAACGACGTTGAAGTCTCTAACGTTCCTTCCTTAACCCCACTCAAATTTCACCCAAATCTGGTTTTGTTCGGCTGAGAAAAACATAAAAATAATACTAATAAAAACCTTGAGTATTTCCTCAAATGATAAGGTAATCTCTGCCGTTCGGATCCGGAGTCTCGAGCACCTTGTTCTGCACACTTATGTCAGTGTCATTGACCAAGTCTCCATTGACGGCGATTATCAAGGACAATACGAACAGTACTATTGTCATCCTGCAAATTTATTCGCATTAGGAGTGCTTTATTAGTCAACAGATCAATTAATCTATCTCGTTACTAATCGGAGAATAGGCGATCCCAAGCACCTGAGCTGACTTTGGCTCTCGTACACGATTCCTACAGGGTCCCAGCAATTACAGGAGTGTCTTCATAGTAAACTAAATTTTACTTCCAGTATGCCATTTTTCGTTGAGAGGCATCAACTGCGCACTGATTTCATAGGGGCGATGTTCCTGCTGCCATCTTGAGGCTCCGTTAAGAAGTTGGCCCTTACGTAGGCGCGGAATTCTCCAACACTCAATGCCAAGGGAAGGACAAACTTGGCTGGATTGATTTCAAAGTCCCGAACCCGGTCAATCGTCCTTTAGGAATTCCTACGACGAAGAGGTTTATATTCGGTGGAATTAGCATCGGATCTTATTTTTGTACATCGGACTTTGCGACGCATGCACTGTCAGTACGATCCGTACAATCCATTCTCCGCAGTAACCGCTGGCGCGCAATCCAAGCTCGATGATAAATTTTGCAGGGTAAGAATTATTGCGGATGCGGCGCTGGTGCAGCACCACACCTCATGGTTATCAGCCTTACATTGTGACGAGGGCGACGACTGCGGTGTGCACAGATCGTGCAAACCGGGCGTCTCTCTCAAAGTCTGGTGCCTACTTACTTGGATACTTGGATGCTCGTTGTCAGCCGATGATCTTCAGCGGCGAGCACACGCTTCCCTCCATTTTTGACGATCTTGAGCGGTTTGGGCCCAGTGTTGGCCCGCATCTTCTTGAAGTTTCTTCAGGGAGTCTCTCCATCGTGTTGCAGGACGGCCAAGTGTGCGCTTCACGTCTCGTGGATACCAGAACGTAACGCGTGTGGTCCACCGATCATCCATG